GGAGCTGTTCTGTTGGATTTCGTTTCCGCTTACGGACCACGTATTTTTAATCGGAATTCGAGGATCGTCCTGACAAATTGATCTCGCGACTTTATTCTTTTTTTACATCGGGGTCGTGGGGTTGTACCGGATTCTATGTTGGTCCACGCCAGACACGATTTTTTCGCGGCGTCTAGCCAACTCGTCGTTCAATCGAATTCCACGGGGAACCATTCCAAGTTCAGAGGTAATCGAATTCCCGCGATTAGACGGACTTTCTAAGCCTCGCGACTGTAGTCTGTCGTGGTAGAACGGGTGAACAAATTGAACTGGCAAGATCGGGACTTGTAAAGGACACGTGGCCGGTGGGGGGTCGTTAAAGTGCCGAATGTTTCTGTAAATCGTGCCAGACCAGGAACGCGACGAAGAATTCCGCGACCGATAAACTATGACGTGAACCTCTTTGCCCTGCCAGACAGCCATAATCTTTTTTCCTTCACGCCGCCACGGCACCGCCGAGATTCTTTTTCTATCACAACATACACGGAACAGCCTAAAGCACTTTGTGCCACACAAATCTAAATTTACGGCCCCTTTGACGACTTCCACTGCTATTTTCGTGGACCAATGCAAGCGGCCTTGACTTTGTGCCCCTCTTTGCACGTGAATTTCGTTCTCACGTTCCGGAAGCTGTTACGTTAACACGGTAAAACGTGATTACTAACATTGTTCGACCATCTGAAACCGAGCTTCGTTTCTTTACGAGCAGCGGGATCGTTATTAATCAGAGTTTCTCGCTTTGATCCGAAAGCTGGCAGCTAATGACCGTCGTGAGTAGACTGCTTGGTGACAGCGATGTGGTAATAAAATACGGTAGTATAACGTTAAGTGGATGAAATAAGAGTTACAGAATGTAGATTCAAGGGTACGTAGCTTTTGAATTACGCAGCCGCGTAGAGGTCTGACTACTCGATTAAGTATGCTTATCGATGGCTTGATAATTATTTATTACATTTCTTCCAATTATTTTTCCTCTTCTCTTCGGTGAATAATTTCGCGTTCCACTTATCGCGTAGCTTTGATGTTCACGGTTCGCAGCATGCACAGGGTGAAAAGGGAAATAAAAGGGGTTAGATCTTTCTTCGGTGTGATAATTTTGGAAAGAAATGAAAACAGAAGTATTTCAGCGTGCCCTTAAATCGGGACTGTCGTCACCAGTTTGTTATAAAACCCACGACTCGTCCATCATCGTGAAAACGTAAGAACGTGGCTATCGAATAACACGAGGTGGAGCTAATGTCTGTTGGAGGAGCATTCTCTTCTGCTAGAAAATCGTTTTTCCGCCGATCGGTCTTTTCACAAACGCGTATTAATAGATCACGATCCCAGCGGGTCGATAATCGTAAAAATAAACGATGGTCCGCGTTATACCGACACTTGCGTAAGTAGATCCATCGGAATGGTGGCATTCTTTCCTCCGTGTTTTCGCTGTAATAAAGTAACGCGGTCCAGTAAACAGCAGTCGTGGAAAAATAGACAGCGTGACGAGAAGAGTAGAAGCTGTTTGACGAGACTGTTCACCATTTTCTAATTAACCGATGAATTCAGTATTAATAACGAATACGCAAACCGGCAATCCAACAAACATATAAATATATAATATACATGTATTACGCAAACAAATTTTGTTCATTCCATCTTTGAAACGTCGGACGACGTTTATTTAAATTATATCGGGATATAAAATAATATCTTTGTGTAAGTACATAAATTACGCGAGTTAAGTATTCGATATAAATTAATTATTTTTAAGTAGTTATTTTTAATAGCCAGTGATATATATGTAAATATAATATAAAGAAATTGCAAATTGCAACTTGTTGGATAGCTTTAAAAAAAGAACGAACAAAAATGTTTTCCCGATCTTCGGGGATTTACACTTGCCGGTACTTCGTCTTCGTATTGCGACACCGATTGATCGATAGTCGACTCATTTTCTGAAATATTGCGCCATTAACGTACACCGTGGCGCCATTTCGTTCGAGCGACATACACAGACAGCTACCGAATACACAACCCATAATTCATATTCGTCCGCAACGCAGCTACTTATCGCGTACTTACAGCGCACTTAACTCGCGATATTTAACCGACCATAGCCCGTAATTAATACAGCTACACGTCGCCACCTAAACTAATAAATAATCGTGCAATAATTTAATTACCGCAAGTTCGGCGTGTAACAGGTCGCAAATACAAAGCGTGTTTCCCGATTCAATGCACCGTTCCATAAGAACGTTACGAGTACATACGAATAATATTTTACAAGTACATTAGCCAACGTCGCTCGTAAAAACCGAACAAAGTACCACGACGAATGTTTATCTAAAATTAAATCTACTCAAGCACCGTTTCCCGCGTGTAAATTTACGTGTATCCAGCTTTTTGTCGGCCTTTTCTTCTACGCTATCGCGCCACGTTTTCAATCGATCTCGACGCGATCTAATATATCCCAGATGAACGATTTTCGAATAGAGATACGTGGCTATGAGTTCGTTCTATCAATGACGCTGAGAAAGCAACACGAAAACGCAGGCTAATAAACATTATCCGAACAACAGATACAATCTCGATTAAAAAGAAAAAATCCTATATTTATATCGCGAGGCGTGCATAATTTTTCGATCGATCGATCGAACTCGCATTTACCACACCAAGTGCTGGGCATTATGTTATCTAAATTCACACTCTGTGGATTCGATTTTTCCATCAGATTTTCGAGAGGAAGTGTCAAGAAATCATCTGCGAATTTTATTAGATATTCTTTATCCTCGCAGATACTTATTTTATAATTCAAATTAGAAATGATATACTTGCATCTTGCATATCGATAAATAGCAAGAAAAATTATTCAAAGATTCGACTTCCTCGCCGATTTTGCGACGTCGTCAAGGACGTCACTCTAAACACCATTTCTTTACGCATCTACAAAGAAACTACCACTCTAAGCTTTCATACTCGGGCGTCGTGTATAAGAAACGTAAAA